GGTAACTTTTAGAGGTAGTGGAAATACTCCTCTCTCAGTATATCTGAGCTCTCTCATCTCCCTCCTGTCTATATAAGGCCACCCTCCCCCCTTCTTTTCTCTTTACCTCCATCTCCTTTTCTCTTCACTCTCCACCTCCTGTCCTCTCCACCACCTGTTCTTGCTCTCCTCCACACCTTTTTCCAAAATCAGAATAATAAAACAAAATTAAAAACAAAATAAAATAAAATAAAAATAAAATAAAAATAAAACAAAATAAAAATACAAACAAAATAAAAATAATAATTATGATAACAACCACAACTACAACAACAACAATAATAATAACAACAATAACAACAACAATAACTATAATAACAATAACAGTAACAATTATAACAAGAATAATAAGAATAATAATAACAACCACTACAACAACAACAACAACAATAACAATAACAATAACAATTACTATAATAAATACTACAACAATTACTACAATAATTACAATAATAATTACAATAACAATTACTATACTAATTACAATAATAATTACGATAACAAATACTACAACAATTACTTTAATAACAATTACTATAATAAATACTACAACAATTACGACAATAACAATTACTATAATAAATACGACCACAATTGCTACGATAATTACAATAATACTTACTATAACAATTACTACAATAATTACAATAATAATTATTATAACAAATACTGCAACAATTCCTACAATAACAATTACTATAATAAATACTGTAACAAATACTACAACAATTACTACAATAACAATTACTATAACAAATACTACAACAATTACTATAATAATTACAAGAACAATTACGATAACAAATACTACAACTATTACTACAATAATTACAATAACAATAACAACAACAACAATGACAACCACAATAATAATTACAATAAGAACAATAACAATAACAATTTTAATAACCATGGCAATAATAATAAAAGTACTAATAAAAAGAATTAGGAAAACAATAATATAAATACTGATTAAAATAAAAACTAAAAATAAAAGAAATAAATAAAAGAATAATAACAACAACACTAATAATAATAATAATAATAATAATTATTATTATTACAATAATATTAAGAATAACAATCACAATACCAGTAACAACAACAATAACAATAATAATAATAACAATAACAACAACAACAATAATAATAATTCCAAGTATAAGTACAATAATAATAATAATAATAACCAGAACAATAACAATACTACTACTACTAATAATAATAATAAAAAAGCAAAATAAAAATAATAAAATAAAATAAAAAAAGATAGTAAAAAATACTA